AATGACAAAGACTAATCCCGGGCATTAGGAACCTTGAGTATAGAGACAACAGGTTAAAGCATCTTAATTTGCACTCCTCGAGGCGTGAGAGCGAGGCGACCTGATAGAGGTGTATAGAGGAGGTGGAAGGCAGGGCTAAACAAGGGGACATTACAAGGTACTCCGATTATCAGCCAGGAGCGAACTTCGTAAACAATGGTTTCAGTGATGAAATTTAGATTTGGGCGTGGGCAGAGTAAACACTGGTTTGGAAACAGAGTAGTGGATGAATGGAACAAGTTACCAAATATCATCATTAACTCGAATACGCTGGATAGCTTCAAACATAGGTTGGATGGATATATGAGCAATAGGGGTTGGGTGTAAACGGGACTGCCCAGTATGGGCCAATAGGCCCGCTGCAGTTTCCTCCATTCTTATGTTCTTATGTTTCACTCTACTGATCAGTCGTATAGGGGAATGTCTATGTGTCAGTTATATATCAACAGTCACTCGATCAAAATAATTCTTTAATCCACAAAAATTATACGTAACATTTGTTGACTTCAAACGATCCTTCTTCATGTTATTCACAAGAAACTACAGTAATATCGCCCTTAAACCACAAAGGAAAACTTAACATATTCTTCTTATATAAAAGCAACCTCTCAGTACATAAATGTTGCTCTGGTTACTTCCTGGAGCTCACAGTTCTATAATTATAGAACTGTGAGCTCCTGAGTCTTATAAAGAGATGACTTGTGAATAAATCTACCTGTAATAAATTAGTGTTGTGATTCTCTGGGCCTCCTAGTAGCTCTGTGGTTCCTCGTAGCCCCTTGTGACGTTATGGTTAATTATTTATTATCCTGAACTTCCCTGATTCCCTTCTGTCAGTTTACGCACTTTTCTTCGCTTATTGTCAGCGTCTGTACTTGGGTTTGGTAACTGTCAGCTTAAAGCAGTTCATGTTTGCTTGCTGTCAGATTGTCTCCTCTTTGTCGCCAAAGATCTGATTCTGTCCTTTTTCCTGGTAACCGGTTGTCCAAATATGTCCTCTATTTTGTCCTGCGGTAAATTCTGTGTTTTTCATTGTTGCCAAGTGTCATATTTCACCGTTTGTAGCGCTTCTCTCTATCTTCCCAGTCAAGGTCTTTTTTTTATCAACTTTTATCTCGACAGAATTAGTTTAAACCAGGTACGGAAATAGTGCCCCTCCCATCCCTTAGGGACCACCTTCCCGCCTCTCCGTTGGGCCACATTCCCGCCTCCCCCAGGGACCACCTTACCCCCTCCCCCTCGCCCCCCCAGGGACCACATTCCCGCTTCCCCCAGGGACCACCTTATCCCATCCCCTCGCCCCAGGAACCACTTTACATCCCTCCCATCAGTGACCACCTTCCATCTCCCTCCCACCATGAACCAATTCCCTCCCGCAAGAGACCACTGTCCACTACCATCACTTTCATACGCCACTACACCCTACACCCGCTATAACTACTACCCACTTTCACCTACACCTCCCCCACAACCCATCATCTCCACCTACACCTCCCCTACTACCTTTCATCACCACTTACACCTCTCCTACTACCCATCACCCCCACCTACACCCCCCTACTACCCATCACCCCACCTACACCCCCTACTACCCATCACCCCACCTACACCCCCCCTACTACCCATCACCCCCACCTACACCTCTGATCACAACCACCACCAGCGCTTTCCAATAGTTGTGAACAAGACTAGACCTCCCTGGCAGCATTGAAACTACTATAGTAAATATGACTGGTTGTGTCAGGCAACATTATGACACAGGCGCTGGATTCTGGTCCGGAGTTAATAATCTACTGAAGAATGATTCAGAAGTTCTACAGTAAGTGACCTCAATACTGAAGCTGCAGGCATTACAATGTAACAACAACCCAATCACCCATACCAACAAGCAAGACTGTATTCATCATCATCATAGGATTCGACCTTGTAATACTAAAGCAGAACGAGAACACCACGAGGACGGACGATGCGACTTAAAAGATAGGAAGCTGTCGTCGTTGACTGGTTTGGCAAAGGTGACTCACCCAAGACTGTCACTGGTGCCTCCCGGCATTAGATAGTAGGTATCTATCAACCTCCCCGACGATGCTGTTTCAAGTGCTCTTACCTCCCAGGCTGTTAACGACGGACCCCCTGGAGCAACATCGACACATCTCAGCAACAAGCAACCAACCAATACACCCACTGAGCACATGATAGGAGGACTGATAGAGACCACGGATCAGCCCTGGTCCTTCAAGACATAATAAGCGACGTTTTCAGTGGGATATCCATGTTTGAACCACTATCTGTGTGTTGCATTAAAATGTCTTAGTTAGATTCCTTCTTCCATTACAAGTCGGATGGACATAATTAAGAATAAAATTATGAAAAATCCATATCGTGTCGTTGTTTAAATGCGTCAGTCACATGTATTTTTACGCCATAAATTACCGGGAAAACTTAACACATGAACTTATCCGGAAACACATCATTTCTATCAGTCACAGGGATCTTAACGTCACCAGCTATAGAGGAAATTTGCTTACGAATTTATGAGAATCGATATTTCCACTGTAGCTTAAATAAATCACATTTATAAATCACTAGAAAGAGAGAATTTTTTTACCTCACGAACTACATTTTTGTATCATAGCTTCAATAGATCACCCTTAATGACTCATACTCCTCTTGGTCGGTTTGTTCGTAGTCACACGATAACTCACAGGAATTGTCAGTATAATAATGTAATGGTTTCCCCTCGTGTAACGAGGATGGCCAGCCCAAGGGCCACCTAGGCGTGAATTTGTTTAAGGTGTAGAAGCTGTCGCCGCCAACAAAACAACCACACCCTAAGTTAGCGAGTTGCATGACCCAGTGTCAAGGAATATTCCGAGAAGACCTGACAATTCGCCAACTGCACTGGCTAACCATTATCCCGGAATACGATCCGCAAATCGAATAACATCCAGGCTCCCAATTACTGCTGAGTAGACAGAGGCAAATGGCGTAAGGAAACTTGCCCATAGTTTCACCCTACCCGGGGATCGAACTCGGGTACGCTCTTTTTTTTTACGGGGATTATTCACCTTGCACAGGATGTAAGGGGGTGCCCAATAAACTAGCCCCCTCGGGGGCAAATCTGAATCTTTACGGGGATTAGCCCACCCGGGCACAGGTCACTGACCCACATCAGGGCCTGGGGGTGAAAATGAAATAATAATAATAATAATAATAATAATAATAATAATAATAATAATAATTCATATAAAATAAAAATTATAATAAAACTACAAAATTAAAATAAAATATAATTCATAGTAAATACAATTTACAATACAAAATTAAAATATAATAATGATAACAATAATAACAACACTAATAATAATGATAATAATAAATAACCATAAAAAATGCAAAAAAAAAAAGTGAGAAACAATATATGTATGTTGTGTTGTCAAAGTAAGAGAAACAATTGAGACCCTGCAATTGTGTGTAAATTAGGCAGAAAGTCAGATCAGCAACCTGGGACTTGGTCACTATTTTCGTGATGCCATATAGCAGCAGGGTCTACCATTAGACAACACATTATGCTTCCAATATCTTCCCAGGCAGTAGTACCTCCCTGTTTGGTAGCTTCCTATCTGCGAGAATGCTGACCATTACACCACAGGTCGCGGTACATACACACGTTCGTTGGAATGGAGAGTCGAGTTAGGTTCTGCCTTGTACAGTATACATGTTATATATATTTATATATATTCACTGTTATGCGTGTTCACTAAACGTGTTGCAGGAACTCCCTTGCAGCCGTTTCAGTCGATATTATCTGTGGCAGGAAACAAAGAGCAACCACACACATTTTATCGTTGTAGTAGTATCTGTTCTGGTATGGCACGTACCGTCCACAACAAAGCTTTCATTATTAATCTGAGAATCATCGTTGGAAACCCTAACACTAACCTAATCCCTTCCAGGTGGCGCTAGGTTGTTTAATCAGAAGGTGAAATAAGCCGGGGCTAATCTTCAGGTGATCCTAATTTAGCTTACCTGTTGCTTCATCCATCAACAACATACCCTTTTATCATACATCACCCGAACCCAAATACAAACTTAACGTAAGAATGGCGTAAATTCTGATGTTAAAAGCCAACATGGTGGTGGAGGGCATCACTCACTGCTGATAATATACCCCACAAAGTCCCGGTTCACCCTCTACCTAAATATAATCTCATGCCCGTGATATTTTTTATGCAAATGTGCTAAAACAGTTGGCAACGTGTCCAAATACCAGGAAAACAAATTTAAGTCGTTATAGTTTCTCCTTCATATCCAGTAATAAAAATATTCGAAAAATTGTTTCTCGTGTATCCTTTGGGAAATTACCAGTGGTGTTAAAAATTGTCTTCCTTTGTATTTAGTTCTGGCAACACTGATAGATATAGGTTTCCGTGTGTTTTTTGTCTCTACTGGAGAGCAATTTTGTCTATACTGATGATCAATACAAATTCATCATTAACCTGCCAATATTTGACTTGCAAGACCTTGTCATAAATACTCTAAAAGGGAACAACTAGCTGCAGAGATATTCGCCTTCTTAAGGAATATCATTCACCTTTCACTTTGTGACGAGAATGTTGCACGGCATTAGTTCAGGTCGATTCCTAGATCAGGTCTTGCTCTGAACTTTATAAAAGCTTCTGGTCTGCTTATTTACATTCATTTGATGTAACAATCTTTTTTCCATAAATCATACTTACCGACACCTGTGATCAGGTACCCTCGCTAATTTTACCTGATAATTAAACACTAGTGCTGAATGGGGTTTAGGCGAGATTGTTAAGTTAACATTAGTGTTTAATCGTCAGTTGAAATAAACTGGATTCCTAATCTTCACGAGATTCGACATCTCACGTTACACAAGTTTTGGTTCAGTAGAGTTGTATTAGAACAATGGTATAATGTGGTTATAAAACTCATCATTTACAAAACACTTTTAATTATATATGAATGACTTAAATCAATACAATACAAAATAATTAACTAATACTACCATAATAATCATTTCCCATACAATATGCATGAAACACATGTGCGCAAGTGTGTGTACAAGGTCGTGCGAAGACTCGAGGATGTACACACAGGTGAATCCTCACATACACGCTGCACGCGGGCGCTGCCCCAGCTACTCCACCCACTCCAAGGTTCCCTCCACACACCACATGATATTGGTCCAGCGTGCGGGAATGGTTAAATTTTGTGGGTGGCTCGGAGGAAATACCTAGAATACATGATTAATGAACAGGGACACTGACATCATAATCCCATAGATATCGGAATTCTTACGGTTGAAAGATTTCGTTGTGGAACAGGGATGCGTGGAGGACAGGTGTTTGTGCATTTAACATGAGGGTACAACTATGGGAACGCTGGTCTGAGCCACTGTGCATGGGATACAGGAAAGTGAGGGGGGGGGGGTGCGCGCACTATCACAGACAAGGCGAGGGGAGCCTGCCCCTCCAGAGTGGCTTATGAGCCACAACAACCACCGGGGTATATTGTCATTACTCCAGGTTTAAAAAACAAAGTCAATTTGTTATCTAGAACAAATTCCAGTGATGGACTGGGGAAGAACTATCCCAACTGAAAAGACTACCAGGCTAACCATCTATATTGGTGATGGTTCAACGCTGAGTGCCTCCAGCACCATGTAGTTGTGACTAGTGTTGGCAAGGTGATCGTCTACGCATTTACCTCTTCTTGGTAGCGATCGGTGATGTAGGTAGCAGTATCAGTGAGGTTGTTGAGGCAGGAGTGGAGCCCCAGCAAGTGTGATCTCAGGGAGTCCATCACACTGGCGGCAACATCACTGCCCTCCTCACCCTCCACTCCAGAGTCTCCACCTTCACTCACGTCACATCCGCCTTCACTCTCGCCGTCGGAGGTGTTGGAGGACATGGAGATAGTGGACAAGGTACTCTGTCGCCGCATGTGACCCTTGACCTGAACTGTACTGGGAATAACAGTCGCCGGGTCAGACCATCGAGTGTTGTTGGAAGATGGTACCGTGTTGTTCTCGTTGTCGTCTTCGTCATTGGATGTGGGACCCCAGATGAGGTCGTTCTTGACAGAGTTGAGAACTGTGTAGAAGTTGTAGGGATTGCCGCCCTCACGCATGAGGCTGGGCACTTTCTGTGAAGTCTTTGTAAGATCAACATCCACATCCAGTAATCTGCAGAGGAAGAAAAATGTAATTATGTCATTGCTTAAACACAAATGAACATAAAGCTAATAAAACATCCAACCTATTTGTAATGTTTACGGCAAACGCGTTCAAATTTACAACGCATTCATCCAATTTACCCCTTTTACAAGTAAACACGTCACTGATGTCAATCTAGACAAGTTGAACCCTATTCCTCGTAAAAAAAAATCCCAATCAAACATACATACATCTTATACGACTCAAATACGGATTGAAATAGTTAAATAAATTAGCGAACTTGTGTAAACAGCAAATAGAAACCTCCAACTTGTCCAAGACCTTTGTTCAATACTCAACTTTTATAATGTACAGTCAGATATACCTCAGACACGACGAAGGCACCATGCAATATATGAAGAGTGCAGATGACGAACCCAAGTGCTTCGTAACTAACCTATTGCTTCATCACGCATCCTCGCTTAAAACAAATCCCAAGTAGTCACAAAGAACCCCAGTGAATCACTCATTAACAAGAATCTCGAGAGAATGACCATTATCTCCTGTGAAGAAACTTAAACCTGTCCAAACCCAGTGTCCTAAGGTTCCCCCCTCTCAGTATTCTCACTGACTAAATCTGCGCTAAATCTGTAATAAAGTGCACTGCTGTAGTTACCTAAGCCAGTGCAAACTAAAAGGAAAATGGAAACCGCACTGCATACCTCAACCAATGCAATCTTTTAAGAGGAACTGTATTCTGCTCTAAATTTCTCAACTACTGTTACTACCGTGTAATACAAGTGTAACACCAACTTGGTCTAATAACACATAACTGATCCTCACCTGGCATGATCGCCACATCACCAAGCAAAGCGAATAACACTAAACCACCAGTAAGAGTTTACCTAAATACTATACGAGGCCGATAATGGACACAATTTGTCAGGTATCATCAATAATCAAGGATATAAAGAACGAGTGGGCAGAAACAGGTAGCTACTTGTGAAGGGTGTCAATGACCTTAAGGGGTACTACTGAACCAGGACATGTAGAACAAGTACTTACTAAAAGCAGCAAAAGTTTTAAGGAAGCAGGACAGGTAATCAGTAGAGTTAGCTGGGAGAGGTACTCAACAAGCTGGGAGAACATAAGAACATAAGTACCAATAAGTTAGCTGGGAGAGGTACTAAGCTTGCTGGGAGAGGTACTAAGCTAGCTGGAAGAGGTACCAATAAGTTAGCTGGGAGAGGTACTAAACTGCTGTAGCTGGGAGAGGTGCCAATAAGTTGGCTGGGAAAGTTGCTGTAATCGAGGTTCGCGACTGACCTGCAGGGGACCATGACAGTCTCGTTCATGTTGTTGACAGCCTTGACGAAGCGGTCCATGGCACACAGTATGGACTGGGACGAGAAGTCGGACAGCTCATCGTGTTTGTTCATCCTCACGCTGCTGTAAACAAAAGGAAGCGTCGATATGAACATAAGACCAATTAAAACGTTTGTAGTTATCAGTAATCTTTAGGAGTATATCAGGCGTTTAAAATTTGTCTCGATAATGATTCTGTAATGTGTTATGTGCATAAAAGAAGACTTATTTTCTATGAGCTTAATAAAAGTCAGCCATGACAATTTTATATCCCTGATATATAAACACCTTTCAAACCATTAATGTCGCAATATTTCTGAAATGCACACAGGCAATAACTTTGAGAATCATTGTATTCTTAAACTCTGAAGATACGAGTATAATGTTCGATTTATATATCACCTTTACCTAGCATCTGCACCAACAGGAATCGCAACATTAAAATCAGAAACATCGCAAATTTTACGATAAACTACTTCCAGAAAGAGCTTAAAATGTGTAATTTCATGTTACTAGGATACAACGAAGTTGTGCCGGGATCATTTATGGACTTGTTATTGCAAAGTCATTACCAACCGTGTCAATATTTAGCTGGATAGATTCATGGATGATAGAGAGTGATAGTAACTCTCGACAGGAGCTGCCATGCACAGGCCAACCGGCCTATTGCAGACTCCTTACTTTCTTATGTTCTTAAGATCACCCTCACCACCTTCCCTATTCCCTGTACCCCGGATAGTAGCAGACCAAGAAATTCACTGGGTATACACTCCTATATTCACTACCATACAGTTCTGCTGACATTAATAATATATTCATGTTTGTTGAAGGCTTGTGCCCAGGAGACCACCCCCCCATGGCCTGGTTCCACTATTGATCGCAGACTAATTCCTCTTTGAATGCGTAAGTCAAGGTAAACGTGATTCAAATAGGGCGTGAACCGAGTGTGTTCTTGGTCCGATGTATTAGTTTCTTCACCATACGTCAAATGTAGATTACATTTACATCGAATTTCCAAGTGTCTATCTCGGTCACACAGGTCACGAATGTAAGAACATAAGAATGGAGGAAACTGCAGCGGGCCTATTGGCCCATACTGGGCAGTCCCGTTTACACCCAACCCCTATTGCTCATACAAGCATCCAACCTATGTTTGAAGCTATTCAGCGTATTCGAGTTAATGATGATATTTGGTAACTTGTTCCATTCATCCACTACTATTGTGTACTGCACAGGTTTTACGGCACGTGTACTCTGCATATACTAGAGTTAAATGTTCACGTGTACAGTGTACGTATCCTGAAAGTATAATGCCCCTGGTGCACATTTACAAAGCGGAAGTATCATATATTTACGTGTTTCAGTCCGATATTTCTAGCCTAAAATGTCCTCTGATGGCTTCCTCTCAGTAACGCAGCCTCAAGCTCTTAACCCAAAATACTTACCTCTATAGTTAATCCCCACTACATGTGTACATTTTTCCTGCCGAGACAGGTAGACAAACACGGAGGGAGATTGAGAAAATATTACAAATGTAATCGATAACTAAAGGAACGGAACCAGTAAAAAAAAAAAAACACGCATGCATGCACACTAGGAAACATGGTAGAAAAGACTGAACAACGAGGGGGGAGGAACTGATACAAAGGCAACACAACCACACCCTGGTAATAGGAGCTTGGGATCCCTTTAACGTTCACGTCGATCACCACTACAATTAATACGGAACCTTAGCAACAACCTGTTGTGTGAAATGTTTACCTAGTAGTACCAAACAAAACACGAGGGTGATCAAGTACCATTTACTCAAGTTTCAATATTAGTTTTAATGAATCTTCGTATAATTACAGCAATAAAATCTGTTACTGCACAAGTGACTCGTAATACTGGTATAATAAAGGGACTCGTAATACTGGCATAATACCTGCAATGCATACATACATTACAAACCACTGCAATTTATTTGTTCTTCGTAACTCGAACAAGATTACACCAATGTCGCAAAAGACAACAATACAACCAAGCCAAAAATATCTTTAATCCTACTTATGTTTTAGATTCAAGTAATCATAACTAGACGATCATATTAACCTCAATGCAACACTCACAAACATGTCTCCTTAACGAGAACTTTTGTGATCTAACCACCAGTCCATTAGCAACACATAAACCGTCTCACACTATCCAACAAAGTGGTTGGCGACTGTGCTTCACCATCTTATTACATGCTGTGGAGACTCGAGAGGAACAAGGAAGCATCGCTGCCGCTCAGTTTGGCGTGAACAGAGCACTTTCTCCAAACTGAGTGCAGTCCCCGAGTGGGTTACATCCTCTCCGTTTACTCAGTCCCTACGCCTTTCACTTTCATGCAATAGTGTTTCTCTTGCGTAGGCTCGATTTCACAGTATTAACAGTTACACTGTATACCTACATACGAATTTTTAAATTATTGAAGCAAGTGCCATATTCAGCATATCCCAAGGTCTACAACGGGCTTTGGGTCTATGTGGTGTACTATGAACATGTCTGATGCAAAACGTCAACAGAAGCTCACTTATCTATACACCCTAGAACAAACTTGGGGCGAACATCTTGCGTAAAACGCCTAGTATATTAGGGTCGTTTGGTAACTTTATGATTACTTATTAGCGTTATTCTTACCTGTTGTCGTCAAGACCAGTGGGGTAGTAGTTGTCAACAGAATTGTAGAGCATCGTGTTGTTAGTGAGGGCCACTTGCCTTTGGGGTTGATTTGTCATTTAAATATACCAAGTTCAGCTCTCGCTAAGAGTTTTCCAATTGTGTAAGCCGCACTTAACTTATACCGACGGTCAATTTCACAAATATGAAAAGTCCAAGTTCTTATATCCACTGATAGTTTTTAAGTTCTCAAGGCCGTAAAGACCGTAGACACACCAGTATTTGCAAGAGGAAGTTTAAGGCACGGTGGTACTCCTTACTCGGTCGAGCTCTGGCTAGGACTGCCTGACGCTCCGAGGCGCCGGCGCGGGTATATACTGGTCCTCCCCCTTCCTCCTCCCCCACCACCACCACCACGACTTGTATACACACAGACACACAGGTGGGGCTAATCTATACATGCACCACTTCACGCGATAGACATGCAGCCTAGATACATTAAATTAGGTAAGGGTACAGTACATCCGTGGGAGATTGTTACTACGGGCAGGTGGCATGTTGAGTGAGGAGTAATCGAGTGATGATAGTACTTTAAGATATGTCAAAGCCTTTCGCAAGCAAGCAAGCAATTAAGCAAGCGCGCGCGCGCGTGTGTGTGTGTGTGTGTGTGTGTGTGTGTGTGTGTGTGTGTTAATAATAATATATTTCTTAGGATTATCCCAAAGAAAAATCGGATCAGTGAGTACAAGTCCTACAAAATAAACAAAACAACTGTGGTGGAAATATTGCCTATTCTACACTCGGCTTTTCTTTTAACAGCAAGCTGGTGCAAAGGTACTGAGAAAACCAGCGTAATAACTAAGGTGCTGTTACAGAATTATGTAACGAAAAATATTACCAGCAAATTAAATACCGTGCGTTGTGTGTCGCCAAAATAATACAATTAAACAACTCATCTGTCCAAGGATTAACATAGCGGTTTCATCACCTATCACCATAGGCGTAGATCATAATTATAGTGGGCGTTCTTCCTGCGCAAAATAAATAAATGATTCAGCAAATAAAACGAAATCCAGGATTTCTGATCCAGCTAGTTATTCAGATTTGCAATCAGTCACAATCACTGGACGGAATAAGGGATGGGGTAGGGGACTCGGCAGTTCTGGAAGGTTGGCGGTGTATGGTAACCCATATCGCGCCACCTGGTCACGTGATACACCCGTGACGTCACCAAACACCTAGGACCAGCCAAGCGGGACAATAAAAAAAAATCTTCCCATTATACTCACAGATACTCACAGATGATCTTCTGGAAGAGGCTCACGCCTGTGACTCCAGCTCAATAGCCTCTTCTCTACCATTACTCACCGCGGGTCTCAATAAACTGATAACAATGTATGTAAGCAAAATGAGATAAAAAAATAGTGAGGGGAGGAGTTACTGTGTGTGAGATCATATATGACATAATAGTGAGTGAAACAGCATTACTGTGATAGACCTTGACTGCGATGAGACTCATGTTGGTGACCGACCACACGAGCTACAAAACAATCCATGTAAGTGGTAGTCGTATCTGACTACTTATGCATATGGTGGTCTGAGGATACAATATATGGTTACATTATATTGTGTGACAGCACATTCGGAGATGCTGCACAGATCCGCATTGATAGATCTATTTTGAGAATTAGGGGGAAGGGGAAAATGTGAAGAAGAGCGAAGAGTAGAATCATCAGTGTAAGAATGGATAGAATTAGTCGTGGTGTGAAGTAAATCATTGATAAAAAGAAGGAAGAGAGTGGGTGAAAGAACAACCCTGTGGGATACCACTATTGATAGAGAAAGAACGAGAGATCGATCCCTCGACAACAACTGCCATAGTGAGGAATATGCTACTAATGCTTCAGAGATTGTTTCATACTGGTAAAGTGAAGAAAACAAACAAAACTTATTACGCATACTTCATCAGGGCAGTGCATAAAGGAGTACAAGTGATCCCCCACATACCATCACAAACGTTGTTGTGTTCAGGGTGTTGCCACTAGCGTCAAATACTGCAGCATCAAAATGTACTTAGTCGCTGACTAAGAACATAAGAACGTAAGAAAATAAGGAGTCAGCAATAGGCCGGTTGGCCTGTGCATGGCAGCCAGTGCTTTAGTAAATATTTACTTAGTAATTAAATTCAGATCACAATTATCCATGTTGTATAAATAAAGACCCCTGGTGTCTGTTGTATCTTGTGGTTCTGTTTGTGGAGGGAAATAATTACAAAACTACCGGTACTTACAAAAGACGACCTACTGGCGTCATAACCATGTTAAGTGCGAGAGGCGATAGTACGTCTTACTATATACTGTGGGAATACCAGTAGGATATTACGTGTGACTTACGTGGAAGAATGTCACACGATGCCCGCTCAGGTGGTAGGAGTAGTGTTACGTGTACTTGTATTTAAATTGTGTTGCGAATTTGATCCAGTTCGCTGTGGTTATCTGTAAGTTATATCAGTATACTGTATTCTGGCAGTGCAAGCAGAGGGTTAAGTGAAACTATTCATAATAAGGCTACATAAATATCCTGTTATTACTAAGTAGCCTGTTGTGGTGTTACTTATAATGCCTCACATAACTTGGTACTGTAAGAAAGATGTTCAGTATTACTACTTATATCAGGTCTCGTAGATGTTCTGGTACTTAAAGCAGGATGCAAAAGTTAGGCTACTTATGGGTTTTTTGTATATTCTGGTAGCATCATGAGGCTGTTGGGTGAAGCTAATTATGAAGTAACGTTTTTTCTGGCAATACAAGATGAATTTCCACGTAAGAATTTGTAGAACGTCTACTAATACAGAATATATATTTTTATTTAAATTACACAACATTAATAAAACGGTAATAATAATTATGGTACCTGTGTGTGTGTGTGTGTGTGTGTGTGTAGAACAACTTTACGGAGTGTCAATGGACTATCAATAAACAGCGTCATAAGAACATAAGAATGGAGGAAACTGCAACGGGCCTATTGACCCATACTGGGCAGTCCCGTTTATATCCAACCCCTATTGCTCATATAAGCATCCAACCTATGTTTGAAGCTATCCAGCGTATTCGAGTTAATGATGATATTTGGTAACTTGTTCCATTCATCCACTACTCTGTTTCCAAACCAGTGTTTACCTATTTCACGCCGAAATCTAAATTTGTCTAATTTAAAACCATTGTTACGAGTTCGCTCCTGGTTGGACAGTTTGAGTACCTTTGTAATGTCCCCTTTGTTTAACCCTGACTTCCATTTATACACCTCTATCACGTCGCCCCTCACTCTACGTCTCTCGAAGGAGTGCAAATTAAGATGCTTTAACCTGTCTCTGTATTCAAGGTTCCTAATGCCCGGGATTAGTCTTGTCATTCTCCTCTGGATTCTTTCCAATGATTCTATATCCATTCTGTAACACGGTGACCAGAACTGAACTGCGTAATCCAGGTGAGGTCTCACAAGCGCTAGATATAATTTTAAGATGACCTCGCTAGTCTTGTAACTAACACTCCTTTGTATGAACCCAAGTACTTTATTAGCCTTGTTATGAGCAAAAACACATTGTTTACTTGGCTTAAGATTCCTACTTATCATTACTCCTAATCTCTCTCGCAGTCGGATTCCACAATGGCATCGTTGTTCATCTGGTAACTGGTTTCCCTGTTTACATCTCCTATACTGAGTACTTTACATTTGTCCACTTTGAATTTCATCTGCCATTTTTCAGACCATTCGAAAAATTTGTTTAGATCTTCCTGTAGTTTTGCAGAGTCCTCGTCAGATTTAATTACACGTCCTATTTTAGTGTCATCAGCAAATTTACTTATGTTGCTGTCTATGCCGATATCTATGTCGTTTATGTATATAACAAATAATAATGGTCCAAGTACTGAGCCTTGGGGAACTCCACTAGTGACGTTGCTCCAATGCGATTTAGTGCCGTTTATGCTCACTCGCTGTTTCCTGTCCCGTAACCACGCCCTAATCCATTTGAGGATATTACCTTTGATGCCATGCGCTTCAACCTTTCTAATTAGTCTTTCGTGGGGGACTCTGTCGAAGGCTTTGCTAAAGTCGAGATATACCACATCATAATTGTGTCCCTCGTCCACCGATTCGAAATCGGACTTTACCTAAATAGCTGCCGGCAGGTAGACCCCAGTTATAACTTTCGATTGGCGGATTATCAGGGGTTAAGAAGGTACCTAGGTGAGGTCACCTGGGAACAGTCAGGTCAGTCCCTGGTCGGAACAGGTGAGGTCACATGTGACACCACAATTGATCATGACTATAATATATTCACTCGTATACTACTTAAAGCACAAGCACAAAATATACCATACAGAAAAATTAGGTCAATGACATACGAATAAAGAAAGGAATTTATAAGAAATTAAAGGGAGGGGAGGAGCAGCTCAGAAATAGGTATAATGAACTATCTAGGAATGTTAAGAAAAGTGTAAGGAGAGCAAAGAGAGACTCCGAAATCATGATAGCATGAGAATCCAAGGCGAATCCCAAGGGATGTTTCCAGGTATATAGAATAAAGGTCAAGGCCAAAGTTGGGCCTTTAAAGTCAGGAAGGGGGGGGGGGAGTGATCGATGACAGTGAAAAAATAAGCAAAGCTTTGAACAGCTACTTTTTTCAGTTTTCACAGAAGAAATTCACGAGGAAATTCCAGAGGTGGAACTGATATTTAGCGGAAAAGAAGAAGAGAAATTATAGAATATCACTATCAGAAAAGAGGATGTTCTTAAGAGAATAAATAAATTAAAGAAAACAAAATCCCCAGGGCCGGATGAAATTTTCCCTCGAGTCTTGAAAGAGTGTAGGGAACAGATAACCGGACACCTCGTAAATTTATTTACAAAATCATTAGACACGGGAGTTGTGCCAGACTTGTGGAAACAGGCAAATGTAATACCCATATTCAAAAAGGGAGACAGAGCATCAGCGTCAAATTACCGGCCGATCAGTTTGACGTCAGTAGTGGGGAAATTTCTTGAATCAATTATAGCAAATAGCATTCGATCGCATTTAGAGAAAAGCAAATTAATCTACGATTCTCAACATGGGTTTACAAAGGGAAAATCTTGTCTAACAAATCTGCTGACGTTTTTTAGGAAAATCTTCGAGGTAGCAGATAATGACGAAAATTACGATGTTATTTACTTACTTTAGCAAAGCATTTGAAAGAGTACCGCATCAGAGGCTTCTGAGAAAAGTTAAGGCTCATGGTATCGAGGGGAAAGTTTTAAATTGGATAAAATCAGGGCTCACCAATAGAACGCATAGGGTCAGCGTAGATGGTGTTAAATCTG